AAAACAAGGTGTGGGTTTGCACTTGGTACAGGGCAGTGCCAAGCCCAGCAAACCGTGGCACTCCACTTCTTAAATGTTTAAAATAGAAGTCTCAGATCATCTGTGGACAGAGAATAGGATTTCACTTAGCTTTTCTCCTGAGAGTGTTTCTTGGAGAATTTAACAGAGTTGTTTATATTAATAGTTTACTGATTTTTTTTTAAAGAAAATTATCTAATAGATGGAGAATTTTGGTAATCTCCAGTTTCTAGAATTCCTTGAACTAGAAGGGACACGGGCTGCCTGGGCCAGCTGTCTTCGGCATGGCAGAGCTGAGGACCGTCAGGGGTGTAACTTCTTCCCTTGCTGGGGTCTGCCAGCAGTTTTGTCCTGTTCTGGAAATTTCATTATGGAGTTTTAATGTTCTGTCAGACATTCTTCCCGATATGCAATCATACTCGCTTCAGCCCATTTTATTGTGCTGAGTCCTTCATAGCAAATGGAGATGTAACTTTGCAGCGCCTCCCTCAGAAACCTCTCAGATCCTGCCTCTGTTCACGCTCACTGCCACTGCCCCTGCCCTCCCTCAGCGCCGGCGCTCAGTCCCCGCTGCCTGCGCGCCTGCCGCTATTGTCTCCAGAGTGCCATCAGGTGTGCCCTGGCACGGACATGGCCCAGGTCTCTATGGCGGTTGACAGGAGAGTGCCAGCAGGCCAGTTCGTTGTCGGGACCTTCGTGTCAGAAAGTGCCCTACGGAAATGGCGTTAAAGCCGAAACTACCAGTGGCTCTCGTGAGAAAGATTATCGCCATCTCACGTCAAAGGCCAGAGGCAAGCAGGCTCGGGCCTGAGGGCTGGCCCGCAGTCTGCAGCTGCTCGTGCTGCTGCTGCCCGGCACCCAGTCCCCTGGCCGACCAAGAGGTGTGCGCCGGCCACTGTCACGCCCACGTTCCCACCAGCGGGAAGGAGGGAAGAGGACGCACTTCCACACTTTAAGGACATTTGGAAGTCGCTTTTAACACTTTCTAGGTGGCCTCCGACGGTCTCAACCCTGTCTCGGCAAGCCAGGCTGAGTAGCAAGCAGACGGGAATGCACTGGAAGCCAGAGGCCTTCTTATAGGAAGGAAGGGGCTAGACCCAGAACGTCGTTGGCCCTTTCCCCGGCTCTGGGCCTCTGAGCAGGTGCTGGCCTTTACCCGACAGGCCTTCAGCTTCCCGATCTCTCTCCAAAACTCTTCAAGACCGAGTCGCTTCCTCAGCGAGTGCTCCTCAGGCCCCTGACGGCGACCACGCACTTTCTGACTCGGGCACAGAGCAGTGGCAGCGCTTCAGCAGCCTCGTAGTGGAGCAGACTGGGCCTGAGTGTCCTCTCCGCTGCTGGGGCTGCCGAGGGTAGGCCTGTGGCACTCGGCACACAGCTGTACTGCGAACCTAGGTCCCCTCTGACTTTCAGACCTTCACGTTGAATTGTTTAATCCCCACCGTCAGCCGTAGGGCTCACAGGTGGCCCCTCACTCAGATAGAAGCACCCTTGAAACGGAACCCTCGATCTCCCCTCCTCTAGTCTTTTCTGTGCTGCTTGTGCCTCCACCAGGCTGGCTGCAGCCCCCCGTTCCCTTCTCACCTGCAAGGACCCGTAAACTCTCATGACTGATTGCCACCAAATCTCTCCCTTCAAGTTCAAAGTGTGTTAAATGGACCCTTTTAGTTCTGTGTCCGATGCCTGCACGGTTGCGCTATCCCCCGTCCTGACGGCCGCAGCAGCTCTTGGCTGTCTCCAGGCACCCGCCCCCCGGCCGCGCCCCCATCTTGGGCCGTGCCCCTTTCTTACCCAGATGCCTTAGCCAGCTTCCTGCTGAGGCCAGGATTCTTGGTAAATCCAGGGTCCTTTAAGTCCCGGAAAGCCCCACCTGACACCTCCTGTCCACTCTCCTCCCTTGCGCAGCTGACCCCTCGCTGGGCCCCAGTCCCGGCTGGCCTCTCTTCCTTCATTATGCCAAGAACTTCCCAGCTCCGCCTCTTCCTGGATTTCCTGTCCCCACCCGGGGCCTCCTGTGTCTTCTTCACTCCCCACGCCATCCTCATGTGTCATCCTAGATGTCGCTTCCTCTTCTTGGGGCAGTTCTTAGCCTTCATCCTCATTTCATAGCTTGGTATTTATTGAATGATTTTACTGAATATCGCTCCCACATTAAACTGTTCGATAAGACTTGAGACCCTATATCTTTCTTTTTATATACATTTATTTATTTTTACATCATTCTTCAGTTTGCGCTTTTTTTCATATCGGCTTGAGATCATATTTCTTTCATTCACCACTGAATCCTCCATGTCCAGTGCTTCATGAATGCACATCGAATAAGTGAATAAATAAATGAACTCGTGAGTCAACAGTGCATTAGATTTTCTCATTAAGTTGACAGCTTTGCAAATCAATGTGGCAAGACATAGTTGTTGGAAACTGACGAGGGTGATTCACCTTTCAAAGCCAGCACTGTTTCTTCACACTCGTTGGACACATGGAGAAAGCCCACCTGAAAGGCTGTAGTGGGCAGCTTCATTTACCTGAATGCACCTTTGTCTGAACAAAGGCTTTCCTGCCCCGCTTTGCCTTTTTATTGAAGTAATGTTAGTCCACAACCCTACATAGTTTTCAGGTGGACAGCTTTTCACTTCTGTGACCGTGTGGCCCTCACCACTAAGTGTCCGGTCACCATTCACCACCAGCCTGGCCTCTCTCCCCACCTTCCATTCTGGTACCCACTCGAAGGATTAAGGGCTTGTTTTTGTTTTGTCTGTTCAGTTGCTACCCGCCCCCCGCACCCCCAATTTCACTTAGCAGAATCCCCTCGGAGTTCACCTGTTTTGTCACAGTTGGCAGGATTTCATCCTTTTTATGGCTGAGTAGTAGTCTATTTGTAGCTCTACCACATTTCTTTTTTTTTTTTTTTTAAAGAAAATTATCTAATAGATGGAGAA